GTGGAGACCAGATCTCACACCCCACCATGTCGGCTGGCACACTTGGATTCACTGCGGCTCCACCTGTAACAGGGCTGCTGTGCTGGCTTCTGAAGGGCAGTGGAGGTGATCTCTGGACCCAGGGGACTTGGATAAAGCCCACCCAGCTCATATCCCAGCTTCTCGTGCTCCCTGCTCACTCCTGTACATCTCCCCCACCTGTCCCTTCTCCAGAGCAGATGGGTGGCTTCTTAAAGCATAAGTCTCATCCTAATATGTTCCCACCAAGCCACTCATCACCAGCCCCTGCATGATGGCGTGAACCTACTCAGGAAGTGTGCAGGTCTCAGAGGGTCCTGGCTGCCTGCTCCGGTGGAGGAGCTGTTGGGTCCTCTATGGGAAGGGTTCGACATGCCAAAAGTGTGTAGAAGCTAAGGAGGCTGTGTGTCCCTGTGACCAGGTGTGGGCAGGCTTAGGGCAGCCAGGTAGCTTACTGTTCAACAGGGACACTTTCAGGAGCAGAACTGTTGCTGCTAATCGATAGGCCAAGACTGCCCTGGGCAGATGGGAATATGACCAACCTGCCCACACAGGACAGAGTGCCAGCCTGGAGCCTTTGTTAGGACAGTCCAGGGAAGCCCCTGGGGCACAACAGGACCCCAACAGTGAAAGTCTATGGATGGGAAATGGACAGGGCTTCAGAAGGGGACAGAAGTGAAATGAATTTCTCTGGATCTCTGCAGGTCTCGTTAATTAACATGGCAGGTTTTGATGATTTTTGGCGATCAAAACATGAGCCCTTGGCCTTTATGTGTGTGTGTGGGGAGTGGGGGTGGGGAGTGGGGAGAGAGAGAGAGAGAGAGAGAGAGAGAGAGAGAGAGAGAGAGACTGACTCTGACTCTACAGCCCTACATCTATCCTGGTGTTAAACCCTCCTGGCATTTCATATTACAATCTCCTGATACTATTTCCTTAGAGGTGTTATTCTAGATGTACCTTGTCACCTACTTAAATAGTTCAAATGCAGCCAGCAGAAAATGCATAATTTTGACAGCGGCCCAGAGTCGAGCCCTGCGGTGGGCTGTGTTCACTGTGGAATGATTTGAGCTCGTGACTCACCCACACGAGGTACTGGGACTTGCTGGAATTTCAGCACTGCTGAGCAGATATTTAAACTGCGCCCCCCTGAAAAAAATACCTAGTAGCTAAGCAGTCTTTTAAATTGACCTCATGGACATATCTTCTGGGGCCTCGGATATTTCTAAACGGAGGAAATGAAGTGATTGAATGGGAGGGGGCGCCCTGGGTTAGGTGCCAGCTCAGGGGACCTGGAGGCCCATCTCTGCACAGAAGCAGGTGGGTATCTGAAGATGGAGAGGGCTGGGGTCTGACTTGGATATGGTCTACAGCAGATGGGTTAGTGAGGATCTTAGTCGAGGGCTGTGTGGCTGATTCGATGCCTCTTACTAGAGGGGCCCTATAGATTGCTGACCTGATTATTTTGACCCGTTCGGTGACAATGTCACATGGCTAAGCATGGTGTATGGATACGATTTGTGTGCAGTGGACTTCCTGCAATGGCTTTGTGACCTCAGATGACAACTGTTATAAATTTTAGGCTGTTTTCACTTATTAATATTCAATTATTGCTCTTTCAGTTTAGAGTAAAACTTAGAGTGAATCAAAGCTCTCATCTAGCAGCCTTTATCCCTTCACAGACCCACATTCCAAGCATTCCATTTGGGAAGGTAAGTCTCACATAGCACCTTTGCTCATTAGCTGATTCTTTCATTGTGGTGAGATGACTTCAGCCCTGATCTGCCCTCCTGACACCACCTCAAGGCCACCACACATACTGCTAACTGCTGTTAGTGTGGAGCTGGTCCCAGCTTGCTCATCTTGTGTAACTGAAACTCTACACCTGCTGGACAGCAACTGTCTGTCCACCCTGCCCCAGCCCTGGAGCCACAGTCCCACCCTCCTTATCTAGGAACCCTTGAGATGTCCCATGTGAGTGAACAGTATTTGCCCCTCTGTGATAGGCTTATCAGCATAATGACCTCTAAGTTCATTCATGGTGTTGCTTATGGTAGGACTTCCTTCTTTCTTAGGATGAGTAAAATTCCATTGTATATATTAGTGGTTTTTTTTCAGGGTGGAAAGAGTCATTATTGTAAGAGATAATCTTTCCTTCAACATGTTTTTATTTTTAATTGACCAATAATAATTGTATATACTGTGGGTTCATATACATAAATCATATGCCCAGTATGTAATGGTCAGATCAGGGCATTCAGCATGTCTATCTCCTCAAAATTTATCATTTATTTCTGTTGGGAAGCTTTGACCTCTCCCCTCCTTTCCCCTGACCTCCAGTACTGGCCTCCTCGATGTCTCTTACAGAGCATGGTACCACCTCCCAGCCTCGGCAGGAAGGCCATACATCTTTCTGCATGAATGTATTCTTCTATTTGCTTTTACTCAGAAAGTTCTGTTGGCAGTCTTTACTCAATAATTTCAAATATTTATCTGCTGAAATCCTGCTCTGTCTGATATTTTATCTACTTACCTTCCTCATGCTCAAGGTCTAAAAACCTAGGACACAGGAAAGATGGAGTAGCAGAGTTCACAGAGGGGCTCCTGCCCACTCCTGGGAGCAGCTCGGGGAGCTTCCCTCTCAAACCTGCACATTGTCTGAAGGTGCCGGTCATTGTGGATTCAGAGAACCAAGACAGCAAACTCCCGACTGAAATATCAAATGCTTTACTCAGTTGAAGAACAAGATAGAACATTCCAGAAGATGTGGCAACTGGGGTCATTTTAATCTCCCCTCCCCAGTCTGGATGAAACGGTTAGTTTTACTGGAGTGAGGGAGTGAGAGGGGCCATCACTGAGAGCACAGGCTTTTATTATTGTGAGTGCTCCAAGCTCTGTCCAGGTGGGGACCACCCACCATTAGCTGGAGGAAGAGCCGGAGCTAACTGGGCACCTGACAGCCATTTTCCATTCCAGAACCACCATGTATCATCTGCACCAGTGTCTGCCCTCAGCTGTGTGTCCTCCTGCCACCTAGGAGGACTGTCCATCACAGAATGCCACACAGACCACAGCAATTCTCAACTGCAGGGGGCTCAGCATCCCAGGGAGCACTTATAAATGTGTGGGGACATTTCTGCCTCGGGTATGGAACTTGCATTCACTTAACACAATGGTCAGTTAAATTTTGCTCATTTCACTTTGGCTAGTTGCGATGTGGGTGACTGAGCGTGTCTCTTCTTGTCCCCTGTGAGGGATCTTTAGGGCTTCTGCTGTCTCATGCTGTACCATGTGGGACCCAATAGCAGTCAGGTAAGCCTGGCATGTGAGCTGTTGTGGGGTCATTTATAATCAGTATTGGCCAGCCAGGTTATTGCTGGTATTTCATCCAGTAATGACTCCTCATTATTTCTGTGGTTGGTGGGTAAAGCCTCGGCTGGAAGTGAAGAGACCTGCAGCATGTCACCCCCCTGAGCTGTGCTGACTTGGTAACGGCATGAAGCCTCTCTGCCCTCACTTTTCCCAGCCACACAATGAGAGCACTGCAGCCTGTCCCAGCCAGGTGGTGACTGACGTCTGTTTCTCCCAGGCCGGAGGGGACGTTCTCCTTCTCAAACTAAAGTGGAGGCCACTAGCACCATCACGATCATTGCCTGAAATAGCAACAGATTCTCCTGGGGAGCCCTGACCTCGCATCTTCAGGACCTTGCCTGGGTGGCTGGGACTCCTGATTCCCAGCTTATGAAGTAGACGGGGTGGTGCAGGTGCCAGATCTCTGGGGCCTGAGCTGTGAGGTGCCCACCTCTCAGGGCGTAGGGCTCATGCAGGCTTCTGATGCCAGCAGAACTGGCTCCCATGCCAGGTGTCCAGCAGGTAGGGTCAAGGTCAGGCTGGTGCTCCTGTTTTATCGTTTGGTTATAGCAAAGCTCTTTATTGATTGATTGATTGATCGGGTATAGAGGATTGAGCTCAGGGACACTAGGCCACTGAGCCACATCCCCAGTCCTATTTCGTAGTTTTTTTAGAGACGGGGGTCTCACTGAGTTAGCACCTCGCTGTTGCTGAGGCTGGCTTTGAACTGGAGATCCTCCTATCTCAGCCTCCTGGGCCACTGGAATTACAAGTGTGCGCTACCGCATCTAGTCTTCATGTTTGATGACAGCAAGGCTCCTTGTTCCCAAAGGTGTATCCACCCTTGCTGCACCACAGTGTTCTGCTAGGGCTTGATTTCACTGTGACACAGTTGGCTTTAAGTACCACAGTGATTAGACTTGAAATCAGGATAGCCATCACCCAGCATAATAGGCTAGTGTCCTGAAACAGTGACACTAAAGGCTTCTGGTCATATAGGTTATCCGCGAGTGAGGACATGGTTCTTATTTCATCACTGGCCTGAAGGTGCTGTCATTAAGGTGAGCGCTCTGCTCTGATCCACTGCCCAACTCACTTATTTCCTTATCTCATGGATGTTCCTGGAAACCATCTACTGGAAGTGGTGAGCTCTTCACGTGGGATCAATGCAGCTCCTGAAAAATAATATAGAAACGTTTTGTCTGCTGGGTTTCCACTGTGCTAAAAGGTATATATCTTTTTAATGTATTAAGGCAGGAAATTCAGAGATGTTTTTTTCCCCACCTGGAATTTTGTGATTATTGGAGAGAATCATAGTCAACGTAGTTTATTTTATTTTGGGGGGACAAGTTCAAATCATCTCTAATTTTTTCACCAATGCTTTTCTATCTGGTAAGTTCCAAGGAGGTGTCGGTGTTTATATTTTTATTTTTTTGCTGTGCACAAACCGTGTTGAGACAATCTGGGTTCTAGACAAGTTCGGGTGGATAGACGTTTTCAGTGACTTTCTAGACTCCTGGGGTTGCGTGCAGTGGGAGCCAGCTGGACCTGAGGAGGAGGCTGGACC